CCTCCTACTGGGGATCGAGCCTGCAACTTGAGCATGTGCCCTAACTGGGAATTGAACCATGAGCTCCTGGTTCATAGGTGATGTTCAACCACTGAGCAACACTGGCCAGCCAGTCAAGTATACTATTTTTTTAAGTTATGGAGCAATAGTAAAAGGTCATATTTCCCCTTTTTTCTGAAGTTATGTAAGTATTTATCAGTTTTTATGGGTGTTAACCTATCCTAAAAAAATGAAACATGATTTTTCATGTTTTTAGGCTTTGCCTTTAATTCTAGACCTGTCTTCCTTTTCTTGACACATTTTAGACACATTAGCCTACCCAGGTTATTCTTGGTATTGGTGCCTTTGGGTGTAGATACTGGGATGGCCATTCATGCCCTGGTACTGGTTTCTGCTGCAACAGGAGTCATGCAGAAGTTTTCTGGTTGATACATGAGAGTCCTAATTCAGGTCTGACCCATGAGGCCTCAGATCTGGATTTCTGATCTTCGCTTCCGCCGTAGTTTTTAGTGCCTGAGAACTGGGGCTTGGTTTCCAGGTTACATCTCGAAGTCTGGTTTATTGCTCCAGACCACACCTTAGGGTTCATGAGGAATATAGATGTATAAACCTGAAAATGTAACCAGCGTACTTGTTTCAGGATTGTAAACCTAGAAATAGAGTCCCAGGTATAAAATGAAGTCAGTCCAAAGGGGAACAAGTGGGCAGAATGGGGACACAGAAAACCAAGGTCTAAATAGAAGTCACAGTCCTCAGTGTTTATCGGACAGGGCAGAGCAGGCAGGTGTTCCTGAGTTCAAACAGCAGACCATTCACTGAAGTTCAAGGAACTGGTGACCCATTTCAGATGGACAAGTGCCTGACAATTTCCAGGGTAAAAGACATGAACACAATCACATAAGCACTGGAATGAAGTCAGGACCTAGTGTTCTGTGTGCCCAGGGCTCCTTATTATCCTCCTGTGTTGTTAGCTTAGTTGTACAGTGATTCTCTGCTCTCTCGCTCCTCAGGTGGTAGTAATTGTAGAGTCCATCCTGTCCCCTGTTAACCTTGATGGTCATTCACTGTCATGGCTCCAGTTTCCATCTCTGTGTTGATGACTCTCAAAACTTTTTCTTCAGTCAAGATTATTGTTTTGACACCATACTCCTATGGTCAGCTTCAAACTCCACGTGACCGAACACCTCACCTTTCCCCTAAAACTTGCTGTTTCTCCTGTGGTATGTATATCGGCGAGTGGTGTCACCATCCATCCAATTACCCAAGTAGCAGTGGTGTCATCTTTGACCTCTAGATGCGTTCCAGCTAGCATCCTGTTCAGTCCTGTTCAGTCAGCTAGCCACAGTGATCTGTTTATGCCACTGCAGTGCCTCATCCCTTGAGGGATAATACGCTGCCTCCAGAAAAAGCCCCCATCTCAGTTTGCACAGTGAGACCCCTGTGCTTTAGCCTCCTCTCTGATACCTGGCTCTTCTCGCTCTCCTGGGCTCCCGCTGGGCCATGTTTTCTCCAGTCCCGGGGCCTCCGCAGTCTCTGATGCTGCTGTCTGAGTGGGCCTGCCTCCAGCCTGGTGTGTCAAGACTCAGCGTCGAAATCCTCACCCGAGAAGCCGTTTCTGTGGAGCCCTAAGACTTAGGCTCCTGTTCCTCTGGTCGCAGGACTGCCCAGCGCTTGTTGCGTCAGAGCAATCACCACTTCCTGAGGCAGTTTCCTGGTGGTTTTGTTTTTGTCTATTCCACCTAATGTTACTTGAGGGCAGGGATAGTGTTCACTCTTGTATTTTTAGAGCTTGTTACATAATAATATCTTTATCAATAACAATAATGGGATAGTAGCAGAAGCAACAATAATAAGTACTAACAGGCATTTAGTAAACTTGTTGAATGGATGACAATATTAAGTGGGCTCTGCTGTCAGGCATGGAGAGAGTCCTAAGAAGATATTTCCTTGATGCCTGTTTGCTCTTCATAGTCAGCTCTGACTCTGCCACAGGCTAAATTGAGAGGTGTTGCTAGGGAGGAAGGGAGAACAGAAGTGTGACATGATCAGCAGTCTCTACTGCATGTCTCTTCTGAAAGCAGGTGCATTCAAGCTGGCTTTAAAAATGTCAGCCTGTGGACGAAGGGCTGTCAGACAGCATAAGCAGCGGGGTAGAGATGGGGGTAGAGATGGGCATCTGTGCCTGGTTTGTCCAGTGTGGCTGGAGAGGCCTAATCAGACCACAGGGTTCTCTCCTGTGTAGTGACGGACCGCCAGCACCAGGGATGCAGGGATTGTGGATCAGTCCACATCTCGCTTCAGTTCCCTCCTCCAGTGTTATCTCTTGGTGACATTTCTAGTTCCTGTTGTTAGCTTTTCAGAAAGGGGAATTAGGGTAATGTAAGAGATCACAAAATGCTCACAACATGTATACATTGGATCTCTTGCCTGCGTGCCATAGGACCTTGAAATTTCTGTGATTGATACGTTCTTTTGAGTTATTTCCAGCCATAAAATTGTCCCTGTATGAATGATAAGGTGAGGTGATAATATTGGGGAAGGGAAGTCTAAAGCAGAGTAGTTTCCTGGGATCCCGTGTTAGTATTTATATCAGTTACACTGTCACTTCCTGGCCCTGTTAGCTCCCTGCCAAAGGTCAAAGGTCTGCAGGGCCTCCTGAGCGCTGCCCTTGTACCTGGTTCTTAGCCATGGCTCCACCGCTCTTAGTGCTGCTCACTGTCAGGGGGATGTCATTCTGCATTTCCAGAAAAATTAACTCTGTCCTTTTATATTTGCACTAGAGGCCCAGTGCACAAATTCGTGCATGGGTGGGGTCCGGCTGGCCAGGCCTCAATCAGTGGATCAGGGCCAGGCCTGTTGGGAGGAGGAAACGGCGGGAGGTTGGCCAGCCGGCCCGCCCTGATCGGGGCAGATCAGGCCCTGGCCGGCTCAGGGGAGGGGCCTCAGGCGGTTGGCTGGCAGGCCCCGCTCCCGATTGGGGTGGGGGGACCAATTGGAGGTGGGGCCAGCTGTGGGGAGGGGCCTGTGGGGGAGTTGGCCAGCTGCCCTACCCTCAAACAGGGTGGGAGAGGCCGATCAGGGGCAGTGCCGGCTGGGGGAGGGGCAGTAGGGGTGTTGGCTGGCTGGCCCCACCCCCCAATCGGGCTCCTTCGCTGGCCGCAGTGGGCGCATAGCAATCGGTCGTTCCAGTCGTTACAGCATTCCAGTCGCTGGCTTTTTATAAATATAGACTAGAGGCCCGGTACATGAAAATTCATGCACTGGAGGGAGGGATCCCTCAGCCTGGCCTGCCCCCTCTCACAGTCCAGGAGCCCTCGGGCGGGAGGCGATTTGGCGATCAGGGGAAGGCGACGCCCCCATCACACCTCTGCTGCTGCCACTGCTGGCAGCGCAAGCCTCGGGCCGGCCCTGGTTATCTGAGCCCTCGGGTGGCCCTGGGTGGCTGGGGGGCTGAGGGGGACTGGGGGGACTCTGGAGGCAGGCCCGCAGAGTGGCTGGGTCCGCCACGCGCCTACTG